TGATTAATAGTAAATAAAGATTGTTGTACATGTGCATGACAATACACTATTGCAGGAAAACTGTGAATCAGAGATACATGAATAAATCCAAATCCTATTATAAAGCAGAACTAATATTGAACTATACAATGGCTATCAGAAAATAAGTGTATGTTCTAATGAAAATTCATATAGCACCAACTGGGAAATTTTCAGTTCTTTTTTTAAATGGTTTAATATCTTTTTCTTTCCATTGGTATATTATTGATCCAATCCATTGTTGATCATCGTCAAGGCCTTAAAGACGTACATTCACCCTGGCTAATATCTTAAAATTTTCTTCTTTCATGAACAAGATATAACTTCACAACATTAAATAAATTAGCGTAAATCCAAAAAATATACCTCCTCTATGCTGCCATCCTCAATTTCTGTATTCAAAGAGAGCAGCATACATTCATGCAACATAGTTTCTAAGTCATCTACATAAAGCGGCGCTGCAAAACAAGAAGAAATATAATGTAGTCTCTATTACCTTCAAAACAATAGACAGAAGAACATGAACGAAGATTAGAAAAAGTGGGGAAGGAAAGGACTGACCTTTTGATTGAGATAACCAAGAGAGGATATCAACTGCAAGTTGTTGGGCTTTCTGGAGAGAGTCATGGCCACCCCACTCATTTTGGACAGCCATTTGAAGGCCATTCCATTGAGAAAGAAGCAATGTGATTTCCTCTAGAAGATGAGAGACTGCCTCAACCTCAACCTCAACCTCTTGCTCTTGGCGAGTGCCATTGTCATTACTTCCATCATTATTGATGATGGTATCCATTGAAGACTCAGCCTCTACCCTCTGCTCTCGTCTCCTCATCATCATGAAGCTTCACAAGAAGGAGAGGGAGAGTCAGACAGAGGAAGAGAAACAAAATATGTTTTCTATCTCGAGAATATATAAACGGGAGAGATAACGAAAAGTTGGGATCGGAGGAAGTTTCCGTCTTAGAGTTTGAGAATTTGAGAACGTATTGAGTTTACGCGCCGAGAGCCGCGAGTGGATCCGATTCAAGATACCTAAAATAAAAACATATCGTGTTAATAGTCCTTATATTTAGTAAATACAGTATAAAATGTATGTCAAAACGTATAATAATAGTCCTACGAATTATAATTATCTTCAAAAATAATTCTAAAACAGTCAATAACAACCTTTGCAAGAATTTAACTCATAAAACTATTGCTGGGTGATTGAATTGTTTGATAAAAACTATTAAATGTATTATTTAAGGGATTTTGATTTGGAATCTTCCTTCTTTGCTTATAAAATTAATCTCTCAATTATAAAAAAATAAAAAAAAAATTAACTCATTCTCTTATCATTATTTACCTAACCTAGGTGAAGATATATAATGATTGATTGACAAACTTTAAAAAATTACCAAAAATAGGGTGCTTTTGGTTCAACATTTCTACCCATTTTCTTAATCCTATTCTCCAAATATTGTTTGGCACATTATTCCAGAAATATTAGTGTATTTTTTAATTATTTTTAGACCTCTTAAGTTTATTATTTTCACTAAATACCCCTAGAAAAAAGTTTAAAAATTAGCAAAAACACCCCCACCAACCCATACTTGCCATATTCCAGTAACCACCATCGGCGGTAGCCGAAATTTGTCACAACAGCTTACACGAAGCCCGGAACTAGCCGGTTATTCACCGATCTGGCTGTTAACGACGGCCAAAAACTTGGCCATCGTTGACCGAAAACGACGGCCACATTTGGCCGTTGATCTGGCTTTTTTCAGCCAGATCCGTGGTAGATCTGGCCGAAAAAGGTCATATCGACGCGTTACGATATAGATCCAACCGATCTGTGTCGTAACGCAATTTTTTGGCCAAATTCCGACGGTGGTGGCCGGAATCTGGCACTGCAGGTGGTGGGGGTGTTTTTGTCATTTTATATATTGTGGTGTTTAATTAAATCAGCAAATCTAGGGGTTTTTTTTATAAATTTTTAAATTTTACCTCGTAATACTCTCCTCTCCAACAACCCAATATTATTCCCAAAATCCTATTCAAAATAATGAACCAAACGCACCCTATATATATCTTCTATCATTAACACAAAATAGTAATATTAAAAATTTATATATATATATATAGAGTAAACCCTCTCTATAGTCATAATGGTGGGACTAGCTAATTTTATTACTATAAGGAGGTTATAACGTAATAGAGGTGTAGTTACAAAAATTTCTTATTTCATAATTCATGTTTTAGTAGTACAACATTAAGATTTCAATTCATGTTTTAATAGTACTCGAGTTTCAATTTAGCGCTTCAATTGCCTATTTTTGAAACGGATAAAAGATCGTGTCTTAGAACCAACAAAGATAAATGTTCTTGATAGAATTATAAATGCAGTTATTGCATGGTCATTTGTTGTAAAGCCACAAACAATTGCCAATTATTTTAAGCATTGCAAAATTAGAACTCCCGGTGTCGATGAATTGTAAGTTACAAATAAAGTGGATAAGGAGAATCAAAGAGTTATTTTAGAATTGAGTGATCAGATTCGGCAACGTCACTACACTAATCAAATGGATATTAATGTCTTCCTCAATCATCCAAATGAGCAACAAGTTATGTATGCTTTAATTGAAAAAGAAATTATTGATATAATTAGACAATAAGAGAAATGAAATAATCATGAGGATGATAGTACGGAAATACAAATAGTTTTGTGTCAAGACGCTCTAAGTATACTTGAGAAGCTAGAAATAGTTTGAAGTAATATACCCGAAAGTTAAAAGATGTGGTAACAACTCTAAAATATAAATCATTGTCCCAAACAATTTTAGATAAATATTTTATATGTAATATAGCATATATTTGTTTTGTAATATACAGATAATTATTACTATGTGGAGGCAATTTTCCTTAGGACATGAATTATAATAATTATAACTTATTACAATGTAAAGTTTATTCTTATTTATAACTATCCCGAATTAGGAATAAATTTTTTTATGATTATATAGAGTTTATTCATATATAGAATGAATATATATATTATGAATACATTTTTTTAAAGAGATTTTAGTCTTATAAATAAGGTTAATTAAGTTTTCTTTTTAAAAGCCGTTTGGATCATATAATGTTTTATTATAAGGGATATTATATGAAGAGAATAAAAAATTACTTTAAAAATTATTGGGAATGTTTAGAACATGTGTTTAGTTCGTTCGAATAAATTAATGAATAATATGTTTGGTTGGGAGGATAAATGAGTATGTATGTTACATATATTACTAAATTACCCTCTATTTTAATATTAATATAACAGTATTTTTTATTATTATTTTTTGAATAATTTTGTTAACCCCCCTACTTTTCAGATTTAGCAAAAACACCCTATCAACCCAAAACATTTTAAACTTAACAAAAACACCAATACCCATCCCAAGGCACTGTCGGCAGCTAGCTACCACCATTAGCAGTGCCACAAATCTGGCCATGATGTCGATAATGCCAAAGATCTGGCCGTGAAATAGCCAGATCTTGCCTTTTCTAACCATGGATCATATATCTATAGACGAAAAAAGCCTCATTGGTGCACAGCTAGCCACATATGACCGATCGTACACCATTATGGTGACTTTTGACAACCTTTAGCAGCGGTCTACGGTGGTGGCTAGTTTTGGGTATAATGGTATTTCTGTAAATAATGACATTAACAAGAGCAATGTCGTCCGAAAAATTTAAAAAGCGAGAACAAAAGTGTCTGCATGAGTGAATTTGAGTGTTTTGTAAATTTTAACAAATATAAGGTTACTTTGGACCAAATGCTCAACGGTTTAGGGGCAGCATGGAAAACAAAATTGTATTACCAGAGGTAAGTTTTAAAAACAGTCCCGCCAATGTATTAAGATTCGTGGCAATATACCCCCAAATGCTACTATCTGTTGTAAAACATTCGAAGAATATTTTTTTACAAATCAACCAAATATCATCATCTGTTCAATTTAAAAAATATTACCTCAGTTATCTAATATTAACTCACCTAAACTGCCTTTAATAGTGTTTAAAGCATCTCCAAAAGACTTTTTATATGACCTAAACTCTCTATTATAAAGAGTCTATCTATAAAAACAAAAGTCCAAGAGACTCTTTATTCTTTAAATATAAATTAAAGAGTGAGTTTGACTCTCCACATCTAGAGAGTCAAATTTCACTCTTTACCCTAATTTTAATTAATAAACTATAAGGCTCTATCTGGTTCATTACTCTAATAGTTTTTAGAATAATATTTTGAAAAAAGTTAAATTTGGCGGGTATTACAATGTAGGATTTAGAAATTAACAAAAATATCCCATATATTTGTTTATTTACTAAACACCCCTATAATAAAATATTAAAAGTTAACAAAAACACCCCCAACCCACCCATTAAATACGGACAGTCGGCCACCACCGCCGGCTGGTAGCCGGAGTGTTTTTGCAATTTCTAAAAAAATATTTGGGGGTATTTAGTTAAATTAACAAATTTAGGAGAGTTTAAAAGAAATTAAAAAATATAGAATAATATTTTGAGAATAATGACATTTTACTATTTTAACTTTATTGGGAATACTAATTATAATATTCCCAATAGTGTAACAAACAGAGCCTAAGTTTCTATGCATTTTATTTATTAATTTTCTCTCCTACTAAGTCTTTTTTTTTGAAAATAAAGAACATATTCATTAAATTTAAAGAGTCCATTGAATTTGAATAAAAATTTTATTCTTTATTTTTACAAATTAATGAAAATGTTTTTTATTTATATAAAATATGCTAATTTAAATAGAGAGGAAAATTATAGGTGCTATTATTGAAAGCATATTTATTTTTAATTTATCGGGACTTTTCCTCAAACTCTCCAGGGTTTATTGAGGTTGAGCAAAAGTCCCGATCTAAACCCTTTCATGATTCAACTTGGGCGCAGCTTTCACCGATCATGACCCGTACACACCACCACCCATGTCCTTCCACGCTCCCAACACGCTCGCCTTCCTACTCGAAACCGCCGTGTCAACTCACTCATCGTCACTCGGCCGAACCATCCATGCTTACATTATCAAAACCCTCACCTCTCCCATCCCATCTTTCCTGTCTAACCACCTCATCAACATGTACTCCAAACTCGACCTTTCCAACTCAGCCCAACTGGTCCTCCAGTTCACTCCAATCCGCTCCCGCTCCGTCGTCACTTGGACGGCCTTAATCTCTGGTAATGTCCAGAACGGTCTTTTTGCCTCCGCCTTCCTCCACTTCAATAACATGCGACGGGATTACGTTCAACCTAATGACTTCACTTTCCCTTGTTTATTCAAGGCAGTGGCTTCACTTCACATGCCCATTGCTGGAAAACAAGTTCATGGACTTGCTTTGAAAGGCGGCTTGATAAATGATGTCTTTGTTGGGTGCAGTGCTTTTGATATGTACTCAAAAACGGGGCTCAAAGAGGAAGCCATGAAAGTGTTCAATGAAATGCCTGAGAAAAACCTCGCCACGTGGAATGCATATATTTCTAATGCTGTGCTTCATGGGCGCCCAAGAAATGCGATTGATGCATTTATAGAGTTTCGTCGGGCGGGTGGGGAGCCGAATTCGATCACGTTTTGTGCGTTTCTAAACGCCTGCTCAGATAGTTCTTTGTTGGAGTTAGGGAGGCAGTTACATGGGTTCGTGGTTAGATGGGGATTTGATGGTAACGTGTCGGTGTGTAATGGACTTGTTGATTTTTATGGCAAGTGTAAAGAGGTTGGTTTTTCGGAGATGGTTTTTAATGGGATTAATGAAAAAAATGATGTTTCTTGGTGTTCAATGGTGGCTGTTTATGTACAAAATGATGAGGGAGAGAAGGCATGTGAGTTGTTTCTGAGTGCAAGGAAAGAAGGGGTTGAGCCAAAAGATTTTATGGTTTCAAGTGTGCTAAGTGCTTGTGCAGGAATGGCAGGACTTGAATTGGGTAGGTCAGTTCATGCACTTGCTGTCAAGGCGTGTGTTGAGGGAAATATATTTGTTGGCAGTGCACTTGTTGATATGTACGGAAAATGTGGGAGTATAGAGGATTCGGAACTAGCATTCAAAGAGATGCCTGAGAGGAACTTGGTTTGTTGGAATGCGATGATTGGTGGGTATGCACACCAAGGCCTTGCTGACATGGCTTTGGCACTGTTTGAAGAAATGGTATCAGAAAGGTTTGAAGTAATGCCAAATTATGTGAGCTTGGTGTGTGTATTAGCAGCTTGTAGCAGAGCAGGGGCAGTGAAAATGGGCATGCAGATTTTTGAGTCTATGAGAGGAAAATATGGGATTGAGCCAGGGGCTGAGCATTATGCTTGTATGGTGGACTTGTTGGGAAGAGCTGGAATGGTAGAGCGTGCTTATGAGTTTATTAAGGAAATGCCAATGCGTCCAACAATTTCTGTTTGGGGCGCCCTTTTAAATGCCTGTAGGGTTTATGGGAAGCCAGAATTGGGTAAAATTGCTGCCGATAATTTGTTTGAACTTGATCCAAAAGACTCCGGCAACCATGTGCTGCTGTCAAATATGTTTGCAGCAGCTGGCAGGTAAACACCATTCTCAAGAGAAATCTCATAATTGGTTTCTTCACTGAGGTTTGAAGAACTGCCTTCATTTCATTACATGTTGAACTCACTAAGATTTCAAACTTATCTTGCATTTTTATTAAAATCTCGAATTTCTGATCTTCTATTCCCTCTCTCTTGAGCACATGTCTCTCCTGGTGAAAAGCTATTTTACTTCTTCCTGCAAAGTTGTAGAGTTAATAGGGAAGGACTGGTCTGCATGTCTCTCCCGGACATAAATCATGGTCTCTAATAGGGAAGACAAATAAATATGAAATTCAAATGTCCTTAGTGTGTATGCTTAGAAATCTGAAACATAAATATTCTTTTGGATATTAAGAGGGAGCATTTCGGATAATCATAGCTAGATGTTGTAATGCCGTGGTGAGTTACATGTATTTATGTATCATGAAAACATCTCCAATACATGGTTGAGGATCAAAGTATAACACAGAATTGTGTCATTTCGTTTTTTGTCCTGATATTGCACACTACATCATGGTTCACTGTAGAAAAATAGTTTCAACATGTGTATTAGCCTGGAGCTGGATTGCTTGCAGTGTTAACCTTGATGAAAATATTAGGAAATCATATGTAGGTAAAGCTTCATCCTTCATATCTTACTCTTATGCCGCACATCAACTTTACAAGCAAGTAGCTGCTTCCTGTTAAAAAACAAAAAAACCTACATTGGAGTCACTATTTTCATTGTGATTTATTGAATGTCTTGTTCTGAAATAGTTGATTATCGAATGACTTGCAAATACATATTCAGTTTTTCTACTGTGGTTTTTCAAAAGTGTTGAGATTTTTTGTTTCTTCCAACCATTGTAGACTATTAATGCAGGTGGGAAGAAGCTGACCTTGTGAGAAAAGAAATGAAGGTTGTCGGGATAAAAAAGGGTGCAGGTTGCAGCTGGATAACCGTTAAAAATAGGGTCCACACCTTCCAAGCAAAGGATACTTCCAATGAAAGGAATTCTGAGATTCAGGCAATGCTAGCTAAGCTCCGAGAGGACATGAAGGCTGCCGGCTATGTACCAGATACCAGTTTTGCTCTTTATGATTTAGAAGAAGAAGAGAAAATAACAGAAGTTGGATACCACAGTGAGAAGATTGCACTTGCCTTTGGGCTTATAGTTATCCCTCCTGGAATACCTATACGAATCACAAAGAATCTTAGAATCTGTGGAGATTGCCACAGTGCCTTTAAGTTTATATCAGGCATTGTTGGCAGGGAAATCATTGTAAGAGATAATAATCGGTTTCATCGCTTCAGAGATGGACACTGTTCTTGTAGAGATTATTGGTGACAGGTTAGATAGCTTTCAGAAGCCAACCACCCCCCTTTCGTTACAAACAACTTTAAAAGTGTAATATAAATGGAGCAATACTAGTTTTACAAAATACATATAAAGGGGTATACAAAGACAATCACAACCCTTGATTTTTATGATTTTTTTCTTTTTTTTTTTCTTTTTCCGTTTTTTGTTTTTGTTTTTTTCTTCTGGATAATGTCACTTTGTAATCCTCTTTGTATGGGTCTTCATAAGGATAGCATTTTTCATATAAATGATTCTTTATATTGAAGGAATCAACTTCTATACGTCAATTTTACAAGAAATGTGTTCTTCAGTATCCATTTATCACTCTCCTAAGTTCAGAGTTGTGTGTATTAGTTATTAAAATTACTAGCCAATCAGTAGTTATTATTACCTTTATTAAATACTTTAAAAAAAAAAATTGTTTTAATAATGAAAAGTATATTTCCAAAAGGGAAGAAGTATCCACAGAAATCCAAGTTGACCGTGTGCACAATTCCAATGGCTATTTAACCCGAACAGTGATTTTAAAAATAAATCGGCGTCGTATCATGTTAGCTAACGAACAAAGAAACAAATCACTATAAAGTTCGCCGTGGCCGCTTCACTTAAAAACTGAAAGTACAGTCACCAAAATGCCAGTAGCCCAAGGAGCGACACTGAACCACATCTCCAGAGAATCCTTAGATATCAGGCGTCTCGCCGACTTTTACAAGGAGGTATCATCTTCCGCTTAAACTGATAAACTTTTATTAAAACTTAATGTTTAACGGTGAAATATAAACGTTTTTATTTTTTATTTTTTGTAGATTTTTGGTTTTGAGGAAATTGAAGCCCCAGATTTCGGAGAATTCAAGGTGATATGGCTGAATCTGCCTGGAGCTTTTGCTCTTCACCTCATCGAGAGAAGCCCCGTCACCAAGCTTCCAGAAGGTCCCTACAGCGCCACGTCACCCGTCGCTGACGCTAGCCATCTCCCCAGAGGTCACCATATTTGCTTCAGTGTAGCTAATTTTGACTCCTTTGTGCACACTCTTCAGGTATTCCTTTGTTTCTTTCTTTTAATTTTCGATTATATTTTAGTCATTAATTAATTTTTGCAAAATTGCTGGCAAATATAGATAACAACAGTTGTATGATAATAATTTTTTGAAAAACAAAATCTCAATACTATTGCATAAATATTTATGTTATTACAAGATTTCAATCTGAACCCAAAAATAAAGGTGAATACTAAGTAAATACTGATTAGGTGAGCTTTCATTCTTCAAAGTTATCAGTAAAACAAGCATTTGCATAAACGAATTTGAAGACCTACTTGATAGGATTTAGCCAAAAATCAGGGTGGATAAGATGAAGCTAATATTCCTTCTGGTTCTGGTACCCATAGTTTCTGTTTGTGATTACCCCTTATTCGGATATTGTTTAGACAGGGAAATAAGCAATTCAATATCAACAACTGAACAACCAAATTAAGATATATAAACTATCATAATGTACTTTGTTGGGCCAAAGTTTCCATTTCGTGAGTTACTGTGCTGAAAGATTTTATTAAAATGGGGGGGGGGGGTTGGTTTTGATAGTAGATATTGAGCTGTTAAGGCTAGAACCTTATGGAGCTAGAACTTTCAAAATCCTTAAATATGATTTTCCCTTTGGAGGCTAAGTTTACCGCCTAATAAAATCTACTGTAAATAACGACTGGCGTATTTGTTGCTTTAATAATAATAATAGAATTTGGAGATGAAAAAGAATTTGGTTATGCAGGAGAAGGGAATACAGACCTTCCAAAGGTCCCTGCCGAATGGAAAGGTCAAACAAATCTTCTTCTTTGATCCAGATGGTAAGTTCTTGTTTTCTTGCAGCTACAATATTTTGTTAACCTGTTGTTGAAAAGATTTATAATATATAAAGATGACTATTGATTGATGCTATTGCTCTTCTTTTTCCTTAATGTATTTCCATAATGTCATTTCTTTCTGAGTCTGTTCGCATGTTTTTATTGTTTACACTTAAGATAGCCTCAAGTGTTTGATTAATCTCTGTAACATCTAATTACACTTTGGAATTCTTTCTATCGTGTGCAGGTAATGGATTGGAAGTTGCCAGTAAGAGCAATGAATAGGCCAACTCCATCTGTGGGTGGGGTATGAAATATGTTGTCGAAGTAAAATGAGGGAAAATGTTTGAACATATGCAGTATTTCGAGACTCTAATAATCATGTACTTATGGAGTGCTCGGAATAGTTTATATATGCTTGTTACTGTTTCTTAATCATCTCTACCTATCGTCAAATGCAAATAAATAGAATAAGAAATCAGTTAAAGTTTTTAGTTTTTACTATAAGTAATGAGTGTCCTCTTGTACTATTTGTTAGTGGAGTAAATTGATGTGCATTGAAACTGGAATTATGTACTGTGTCTCATCTTCAACTGTAATAGGTTACATCTAATTTGAGTGTTCTTATATCTTGAATAAGGTGAAGTTAGGACATTTTGAGTCTGCAAATTGCTTCCTCAGAATGGAAATTTCATTGAGGCAAAGGCAATCCAATGTGGCCGTATGGCTATTTATCTCTCTCCGCAAAAATCCTGTTTATATATGCAGCTCCCTTGTGATACTTCTTTGTTGTAGCTTATGTCAAGAGTAATCTTTGCATTGTGTATGATATATTTGTGATCACATGGACGTAAATGTTTCCTTTGGCACTCAGTAATAAGGCCTCTACCTACCATTTATGCAGTTCAAGGCTCAGGCGGTGGAAGATTAAAAGTCACGAGGTTGAAAACTTGAAAGAGGATTATATCATATGTTCTGTTTGTTCATCTATCAATTACCCCAGCACATTTGGGTAAATGCAATGAACGGCCGGAAGGAAGCAATTTGTAGGATCACGCTAATGAAATTGTAAGGTAGCACAGCAAATATCAACTAAAACAGACCTGATATACGAGCTCTGAACACTAATTTCCCAACATCTTGAGTAGTGCTTTGCAGCTTCAAATAAAGAAATTTTCTTTATTAAAAATATAAATGAATACAGCATCTAACGCAAAGTTTGCTACTTCTAAATTCTCGTCTTAGTCCTCATCTCAGATTTAAAATTACACTAAAAAATTAATATAATTTATACAAATAGAAAGAATTGAACTTAATTTGCACTCAACCCGGGGTGAAAAGCGGCCAAGTTGCTGGGTGCCGGGTTGATCGGCCCAAAAGTTTAAAATTCACAGGATGCACTCCTAAAAATTTGTTAAGTCTTTATAGGTTTGAAATTTAGCAAACACACCTTAAATACAAATTGATGATCGATTGGTTAGCGGCGGTGACACACTAAATACAATCCCAATTATCCCCTAAGCCATTCCCCAGAAAATTTACCTAAGATCTATTGATTTTGGCTAGATGTTACTATCGTCGGCGTTGACAACCCTTCCCATCACCACGGAAATACTTCTTTCAGCCTCCTAACCAAAACCTATCTCACCCTATCCCCATTTGTCTCGCCAATCATCGGCAAAAGCTAACTGTTGCCATTGTAAGCTTTTTTAAATCTTTGGTCGATTCATTTATGAGAAATCACCTCCGTCGAAACCATTACGCTCACCTATCATTTCTCTTCAAAACCCTCAATATTTCGGTCTTCAATTGTCGGTGATTATCATCTCAATTTTTAAAATTTTTGGTAAATAGAAAAATTAGGAACCTGATTCGATGAAGACCTCGAGTCCCAGTTGAACGGTGCGGCCAGGCTGGGTTTCAAGACATTGACTGAAAGTTTGAAAATATCACGGCTCGGTCTCGCAATACTAAGTAACGGTTGGGCCAAGTGTCTCCATGAGTTACAAACACTTAGACCAACGTGTTCGTTGATCGTCAGGCTCAAACACTGTTAAGTCCACGTTTACTCTCACATAAGAGAAAATATCGCCACATGTATCATTACCAGACAAAAATTTTTACTGATTTGCTTGACACGTTTTTTCAATGTGCCTCGTGTAAATGCGACCCTACTTCAGACTTCTGAGTTTTCCTGATATATAAATAGTAACTTCTTCCTTAGTGCTCAACTTACGAAACTTGTGAAACGTGCAAGAAAGTGAAGATGAGCCAGGAACAGCCACAAAGGCCTCAAGCGGGTGATCCGATTAAATACGGCGACATATTCAACGTCTCTGGTGAACTCACCTCCAAACCTGTCGCACCACAAGATGCTGAGTTGATGCAGAGCGCTGAGACCACCGCGTTTGGACAGCCCCAGGCGGGAGGACCAGCTGAAGTCATGCAATCTGCTGCAAGAATAAACGAACGAGCAGGTGTCGTCGGTCGTGATGACGTAAATGATATCGCTAGAGACAAAGGCGTGACCATAACAGGAACTGAAGTTCCGGGTGGCGGCGTAATCACTGAAACAGTTGCTGGACAGGTCCACTTTCTCTCTCTCTCTCTCTCTATTATCCCTCGTTCACTCGTGTATATCTATTTGTATGCATCAGCTTATGAGCCGCTGTGTGTTGATTTATCTCGAATTGTTTCAGGTTGTTGGACAATATGTTCAAGTGCCGGTGGGGCAACAAACAGCCGCAGGAGTGGGAAACCAAGGTAAAATTACAATGGGACAAGCGCTTGAAGCCGCTATACAAACAGCCGGGAGCAAGCCAGTGGATCAAAGCGATGCTGCAGCGGTTAGAGAAGCTGAAGTGAGAGCAACTGGTAGCAGTGTCGTAATTCCAGGTGGATTCGCAGCTTCAGCTCAGTCAGCTGCAGCTTATAATGCAGGAATGATCCGCGATGAGGACAAGATAAAGCTTAGAGATGTTTTGACGGTAACCTATAGCTAAATTTTCTGTAATCTTTAAAGCATATACACATATGTAACTGTATAGCCATAATCCCTAGAGTGTTCTATGTATGGCTGCAGGGTGCGAGTGGAGGTCTGCCGGCCAAGGAGGTGACCCAAGAGGATGCTGAAGGGGTGCAGAACGCGGAGAAGTGGCATAACATTGGTTTCTCTACACATCCGGGCGCTACGGCTGCTAGGGTCAACCAGCAGCGTGTCAACGTGTAGTGAATATAGTAATAATATTTTGTGATATATAAATGTAGCCTTAGGGCTAAACTAGGGCACTTTAGTTACTACTGGCAAATGTGAAAGTTTTGAGTTATGTAGTATGATATATAGAATTTGCCTGCATCTTCAATTTTACGGCTGAAGTAATTTTCTTCCCATTCTTACGCGGATGAGCTTTGTTTTATTTTAATTGATTTGTCGCGTACCAAATAGTTTGGGGACTGGACCGGAGCACCTCTTCACAGATGTCGAATCCATTTACTAATATTGGTCTTGAAAGAGTATTCGAAAATACTGCCCCAGTTACTCCACAAGAGATAGAGAAGATATATAAAAAAGCCTCATTTAGAAGTTTCTTGTACAATTAAACCCAAAACTCAATATGAAGCATAATTTGAGAGGGTTTATGTCATTTGGTAATTGATTTTATTGTTTATAAATCAAGTCTAAATGATAATCGGATACTCAAATGAGCTTATATAAGATAAGATAAGATTCATGATTGATGTGATTATAGAGAAAAAAAAGAAGCAGGTGTAATGAACAAACATCATGATTATTAGAAGTAGTTCAACATTCATTAACAGGGTATATCGTTAATTAAAGATTACAATCAAGTAATAGTACTGTATACCCGATTAATTTTCATGGATATATTATAATTTATAATATTATTTGGATAACCTTTTCAATGGAATAAACACATAAAGATAATAAAGTAGCATGTTAATTAATAACATATTTAATATGTCTGCATTTATTTAAAAGTTATTCTTCTTACGTTTTAATTAATTATATTATAGTTATGGAGATTTTTGTGATAAAACAAGTGTTAGAGCAACGATGTTTTTTATTTTAAGGAACATCTTTTACATAAATAAAGAATATTTTTATTAATTTTTAAATATAAAGAACAAATTTTTTTATTCAAATTTAATAAATTTTTTAAATTTTCAAGAAAGAGATTTAATAGGAAAAAGAATTAATAAATAAAATACATAAAAATTTATAATTTATTAATTAAAATTATAATAGAGAGTGAAATTTGACTCTCTAGATGTAGAGAGTTAAACCACTCTTTAATTTATATTTAAAAAATAAAGAGTACGTTGGACTTTTATTTTTTATAGATAAACTTTTATTTTTATAATAAAGAGTTTGGATCATATAAAGAATCATTTTGAGATGCTCTTAGTTTGGTCGAATTTGTGGGACTGATATAATTTAAAATTCTACCCTTGAAAAAGTTCCATATTTTAGATTTGCAATTATTGTTTCCTTTTTTTAAAGAGTTAACAACTTTTTCCCATCCAAATAATGGTTTAGTAACACTTTTTCATCTCACCACTTTTAAAATACCAATTTCCTATTAAAAAAATATACTTTTCAATTCGACGGTGAACGGAGAGCACAATCAGTCCATTCTATTGGAAGTTTTTAAGAGAAGAGGCTAGTGAGTTTTTTGGTGGTTGTGATTAGTCGAAATTTGACTAGATAGGTGCGATTGCACAGAGTCTAATCGCTCGATTGTTGGAGATTAGCAGGGTCGGCGAGAGTAAAGTTTGAAGGATTTTAATGAATAATGATCAAAGAAGAGAATGATGGTAATGTGGGATCACAACGATGTCGAAATCGGCCAACTAATGGGGTTGGTGGGAAAGTGTCATTAAATGTATTTTTTTGGGTGAAAAATAGTATTTTAAAAGTGTAGGATAGAAAAGTTTCATCAAGTCTTTGGATGAGAAAAAATCGTTTACTCTTTTTTAGGTAACTGTAAAGAGAAAGCTAATCTTTAGCTATAAGGGAAACATTTGATGGCCAAACTCTCGGTCTATTAGTCAGAAGGGGAGAACTACTGAGCGCCTACCCACTGTACAAAGGAGTAGCAACATACTTCGATTGCCATTAAACCTACCTCATAAAATCTTAATCTTATTAAACTTTTACCTTTAGGATTATCTCTACAAAGAAAACAATCTCCATATTAATCTACCACTAGATCGGGCTTTGTTGTCTCTTGTTCCCTATGGTTGAATCCATCCTTCTTGTTAGAGAAGTGTAGAAGATTTGAAGTTGGAGTCGAAGACTCTGGCTAAGCTTCAATTTCAGTGTAAAAAATGGCCATGAATTGCCATCTATACAATTGGGTGCAAGTGTCGCCACCCCATTGACAAACTTTTCCTAGATTGACAGCCAAGCTGGAGTTTCGCCATGTGTTTCGTTGTGGACGATGAACCCAATTTCTCATTCAACACGTGTCTCCCGAGCAACGTGTCAATACTCTTCCGACTTTAAGCGGCTCTATATCATGTCCCCTCTATTTCCAACTTGCAATTCCAAAACACAGGCAGGAATCAGTATTCCATAATTAGTCAGCTTTCATAAATCAAACGTTCAAGATGAGCCAAGGGCAACCACGGAGGCCTCAAGCGGATCAAGAGCCCGTCAAATACGGCGACATATTCAACGTCTCTGGGGAACTTGCTGGGAGACCTGTGGCGCCAGAAGATGCTGCCATGATGCAGACGGCTGAGAACACAGTGTTTGGGCTGACCCAGAAGGGAGGACCTGCTGCTGTCATGCAGTCTGCTGCTGACCACAATGAGAAAGCAGGTCTTGTCGGTCACCGCGATGTCACTGATATCGCTGGAGAAGAAGGTGTCACTGTTACTGAAACCGATGTGCCTGGTGCTCGAATAATCACTGAATCAGTTGGTGGACAGGTAACTCTCTCTGTCTAATGGCATGCAGGTAGCCTTAAATTGTTGGGTGATGGGAATACAGTTAAGAAATTTAAAATGCTCCAACTTGTACATTAATATGTAGTTATGTTCAACAACATTAATAACAGTCTAATATGGCACTGCAACTTGATAGACATGCTTGACGGCGAGGCTAGTGGGCAGTGGCACGACTGTATAAGTTCAATTCAATTTATAACGAGTGTATATCAGTAACTGTATTTCTAGTGTTAATTGATATTTTGTCTTTAATCCTGTTGTATTTGTGTAGGTTGTTGGAAAATATGTGCAGCCCAGGCCAGTGGCACAGACAGTAGCGGTTTCGGCAGTCCAACAAGGTGCAATTACTATAGGAGAAGCACTTGAAGCTACTGCACAAACAGCCGGCGATAAGCCAGTTGATCAAAGCGATGCGGCTGCAATACAAGCAGCTGAAGTGCGAGCCACTGGGACCAATGTTGTAACCTCAGGTGGCCTGGCAGCTTCAGCTCAGTCCGCTGCAGCTCATAATGAAATAGTAAACCGTGAAGAGGAAAAAATCCAGCTCAAAGAAGTTATCTCGGTATATCATATATCCTTACCTGATAGACTTCAAGATCATTTCTCTTACTATATATGCACATGTTTCATGTAATTCCTCTGTTATGCGGTGCAGGGTGCAACGGCGAAACTGCCTGCAGACAAGGCAGTCATGACTCGACAGGATGCTGAAGGAGTGGTGAGTGCAGAGCTGCGAAATAACCCGAACGTGGCTACGCACCCTGGTGGAGTGGCGGCTTCTATAGCTGCAGCTGCCAGGCTCAATGAGAATGTTAATATATGATCAACCGTGTCTGTCCTAGTACATCTACGTATATATATACACTAGGAAATAAGACTAAAAAATGTCTGGCTTGAGTTATAAAATGTTGTATGGTTTTTGGCATTTAAAATGCTTATGTATGGTTTCTTGCATGTTCATGTTGAATGGTGAGGACCGTGAGGTCTCCAGGTCTCATGTAAAATGCTAGCTGCGTCTTTGCCAGCTTTGTTTTGTATTACTTAGTGCTAATGCAAACCCCTTTTTTTAATTTTTTTTTTTTTTTTTTAATCTTCTTTGGATTTATCTGGTCTTTGAATGTCATGTTTAAATTGAGTTTTTGATTACATCTTCTCTCAGCTTCTTTGAACATCAAGGAATGAATCGCAATTGATTTGTACGTATCTTACATATAATAATATATGATGTATATTCTGCAAAGAAATTATTCGGCCAGAAATCTTTTAATTCAAGGAGTTGGGCGAAGGAAATTGTATTAATTTAGGGCTCTGCAGTGGTTAATTTGATTGGGCTGAGAACCTCTGGTCCAGCTGATGAAATGGGTTCATTATAAAAGGCAGAGTTCAATCGGCGAGTTTTCAAGGATGTGTCACATATGCAAATCTTGAACAGATCAGTTTTGAAGGATTTAACTACCTCTGTGCCAAAGAGATTCTTGGTATATTTAAGAGGTTTTGAGTTTGAATTATTCCTTAGTTGCTAATAGGGGTAGCCACTGTTTATTAAAGCTCTTTTCGACTAGTAGTTCTAACCTTTAGGGTCTTAGGGATTAGTTGAGGTACACGTAAGTTAATTTGGACACTCCCAATCAAAAAAAGAAAGGGAAAAAACAATTCATTTAAATAAAACGAATTTATTTCACTCAAAGTTAATGAAGTTCTAGAACGAACACAATGTTATGGATTTGGAACATGATGGTCGACATATTATTATAAAGAAAAGGTAAAGAAGTCTAATTTCCTTATGATTAATTCATGTCGAAACAATATTAAATATTTAATTAGAAGACTAGAGAGTCCATCAAATCATCAAGTAATGGAAATGGAGTAAAGTTTTTGTTGCTTTAATTGATATTGTATTCAACATAATGGACCTACAAAGTATCCCAAATCCGATAATAAGTCTGACCCACAACTGGTTTTTCCAGCAAAGAAATATATACTTTCATAGCTCCAAGTAAAACTCCAAGTCCAAGATACATTGAGAGAAGAGCTATCTATCACCTTTCACATAAAAATGTAGATAATTTTCTCAGGAGAGATAGAGATAGAGAAGATGACCACCAAGGACATGCTCTTGCTCTCTCGTGAGTTTCTGATCTCTGCTGACTTTTTTGAAATTGAAGGACAATTATATGAGTACAAACTTTCATAAATTGCCTACAGGGAAATCCTGGAACCCACCACACACCCACTTAAAGCAAATAGTTCCTTTCTTTTATCATATTTGTCTTTCTCCAACCACACTATAAAGATAAGATGCTTGTTCTCTTGACAGTAAACTTTTTTTTTTTTTTTTTTTTTTCTGGGCATGCAATAAAACAAAGTTACTTTCATGTATCGCAATAGTTTCAGAATGCAACATGGAGTTCTGATAATATCAGTGTTTTGCATGAAAATAGACGGAGGGTCATGACGCCATATATCTCATTCTATTGTTCAAATATAGTAGTCGGTCCCAGTCCTTGAAATTTCTGCAGCCATGAGTAGTATATATATCTAATTGAGATGAGAAATGAAATCCCACCAACCATGACTCAAAATCCGTTGCAAGGAGCGTTTCGTTTCTGACACTGTAATGGTGGTACATGTTACAATATTTTACCTATTTTTGGCCTGGTAGGGTAAGTTAAACAGGAATTTACAACGTCAGTTTCTCTGGCTAGGTCAAAGTTGAAGGACACACGAAATTAAACTCCTATTGACCCAGGGAAAGTCTTGCGAAAAATGGAGTCTGGAAGATGTATAAAGGTATCATAATGTACAATCTCCAGTAAGGATACTATTTGTAGATGGTGCATTTTCGGCAGCTATTGATTTTAGTGCTGTTTTTCATTAATTGTAGGGAGATACAATATCAGTTTCTGGGGCCAACTTTTACAATAAATGCAGAGATTAGAACACAATAACCCCGACTCACAGCTCTAATACTGGTAATCTCAGAAGCAGTTGTTGTATATCTCAGCTAAAAGGGCCAATTTGAAGAACAGCAACAAACAAAATACATAAATCAATTTTATTCCATATCACAATTCCTATCTCCTAACTTGTGTACTCGGATCCCGATCCATATCATTGCCTCAAGGGAAAGATTGTTCCTTCCAGCTGAAGTTCGTTTAACAGGTGTTTTGTGTTTTCAAATAATCAAGTAACCGAAAAGAGACTCACTTTTAGTTTAAGAGATGATTGTTAAAGGTGTTTTGGATTGAAGGACACGATCTTACTCTAACTAAATCCGACGATTAAGATAAAATTACAAATTATAAGTCAAAAAGGAGAATGATTGGGCAACAATCTTTGTTATGGTCACATGTAATAAATGAAGAAAAACATGGAAACATGATATTTTTGTTACTAAAATATTTTACACATGATGATTAATTTGCACATTTTTACAAAAAAGGTAGCAGTTAGTAGTTAATTGAACAAAATAATAGTAAACGAATTTTTCCCACCCAAGGTTTGCCTTAATGGCACTGTTCCACCTAAAAAAGTTTTAAAATACTATATTCCCACCCAAAGTTAGTACTTCATTACTATCCAAAGCCGATTTCAGCAACTAAATTTCTCTCCGTTACCACCATTTAAACCTCTGGTCTCTTCTCTATAAAACCTCTCTCACTTCGGCAACTAATTTTTCACTGATTTTTAGCCATCACAAAGCAAAAGTTTTTTGTTCTAGTATTTTTTACTGCAGTATCGGTCACTATCATTATATTCACCGGCCTCCACTCTACAAAAGCCTCTTGGTAATTCATCGAACGCCAACTGAGAAGATGAAGTGTACTTTAGATATTAACGAAATATAAACAGTGGGTTAGAAAGTGGTATTTTAAAACTTTTTGGTGGAAAAAGGCCATTAAGGCAAACCTTGGGTGGGAAAAAGTCGTTTACTCTCCAAAATAACTATGCTGCAAATGCATGCACACCATTTCATATAAAATTCAATACCTTCTCCAACAATTGCAAAACTCAAGCCTAAACTAATACCAGCCAGAAAATATACATGTAAACAAATCTCTCTCTTCATTGCCTCAAAGCCTTAAACAATTGACAAATTCACAGGCCATTTCACAAAATAAATTACTGTTTCTCTCTCTCTCTCTCTATTTGCGTGTTTCTTTCTTCTACTCAAATATACAGTCAAAATATCAGACATTATTAGTAGACACAATACCCAGCAGCTTCTCTCTGTCTCTCTGTCTTTCTTTCTCTCTGAAAAATGTCTAACATGTTTTGGAAGAACTTTAATCTCTGTTTCTCAACACTCAAATGCCTGCCTACTTTTTCCCCATCTCCTCCACCATCTTCAAAACATGATCAAAATCACTCAACATCAACCACTAGTCCTACAACTTCTCTTCTTTTCAAGAACTATAACTCTCTCTATGATTTGTCTTCATCTGAGCTTTCAACTTCCAAATCTCTCGCTCCTTCAACAGATGACTACTTCTCTTGTTCCACTTCATCTGATTCTGACTCTGAAGACAACTCAGCGCCAGATTTTGCAACCATTTTCGCCTCTCAACGCTTATTCGTCTCCTCTCCTGGCCGTTCCAACTCCATCATCGAGTCACCAGATAGTAGCAGACCTGAGAGTGAAGAAGCGCCACTCAATGGAAGCGGCGTTGCTGTGAAGAAGTACTCTCCGGATCCTTACAGGGATTTCCGGTGTTCAATGCAAGAAATGATTGAAGCCAGAAACTTAAAAGATGTGAGGAGTAACTGGGATTACTTGCACGAGTTGCTCCTTTGTTACCTTACATTAAATCCAAAGCACACCCACAAGTTTATCATAAGCGCTTTCGCTGACATTCTCATTTGCCTTTTGTCATCCTCAGATTCGGATAGTCTCCGGAAACAAGAAGGCCATCAGAGGTGACGTAACATTAATTAACATTGTAGTTAACTTTTTAGCTAGCCATAAAAAAGGAAAAGAAACATTGACGGTTGTTTCTTCCTTCGTTTCTTTTCTATCTCTCCGGTTGTGTTGTAGCATTTTGTGAAGACAAATTAAGGGGTTAAATTAAATGTAATTGATGATCAGAAAACCAGGGAAAGCGTGGGATATTAATGTCTCGATGAATGTTAGGAATGCATACTCTTGTAAGCTGTTAATGTAAAATGTGTTCATGGTAAAAAAAAAAAAGCTTGTGTTTTCTTGTTTTGTGTTCCGTATTTGATCGGAAGATTAAACAAGTTTCGTCTTAGTTTATTAAATAACTGTCCTTGAATATGTTGTGTGGACCTTACACTGCCAACATGTTGAGGTTGAGCGTAAACGTGTTCACGAGCCTGGCTAGTTTTAGAGGCTGTACATTGATGCAGATTAAGAGCTTTATAGCTTGATGGATGCATCAAGCATGTGGAGTTGTTTTTGTTCATTATTGTTGCCATTATTATAAACTTTTCTTAATTACAATCTGCATATAATAAATTAAGTCTTGTTCCTTTGGCATCGAAAAAAAGTTTGCATATGAATCACTGGTATGCAGCAGATTAGAAACTTGAGGGAGATTGAGATTATGACCTATATAACAATGTCAAAACCCCATTCCAGGTTCCAGAGAAATTTCATAAAGATGAACATGATATAAAGGAATGCACCTGCAGTGATAAAAGGTGAATTAATTTTGAGCTAAAGTTAATAAAAAGTGTACTCTTGAGTCATTAATGGGTCAAATCACAGTCATCACTGGAATCCTGAGATGAAAAAAATAAAAATATACTGCGTATTTACCAATGCAAATCAATAAGTTCAAGAATTGATGTCGTTACTTGAAAGATATATATATAGATCCATTATCCAATGCCATGGACATGGACATGGAGAAAGTCCGTTGAGCCTTTAATCTCTTATTTTTACAATGTGCAACAGTTGGATTGTAGCGTAAACTTTAACAGTGTCCTCGAAAGAATGATCAAAATAAAGAGCATTGAGAATCCCAAATTTGCGTGGAAGAGAGCAAGTGATGGAATTAGTAATAAGATAATCACCAAAAAGGAAGGAAGGCTTTCTCTTTTCATGTTTTTATACATGACGAAAGGGTAGACAAACAAAAAGGATCCAAAGAGAGATAGATGTTAACTACTGCAAAAAAGAATGAATTTATAATTCTTTCGAAAATGATATGCATAGCTAAATATATTTATTTTGTTAAGTTAGTTGGCTTAGGTAAGGTTAAGACCAGACCATTTGTCTCCAAGTGAAAAATTATATCAATCAATGAAGCCAAGAAGATAATTAATTAAGTTAAAAGTATAAATTAGTAAAGCCAAATGCAACACTGAATTGACATGTAAATACAAACAAGTAGGGCCTGATGTATAACCACGCATACAAAGAATCTTAATAACTGATCTTTTGCTTTTCGATAAAGGACACCATTTTGGGCCAAGAGAATAATGTAAAAGGACCTTAAGGCTGATATTTTCGCCTCGAAATTAAATCCTTGTGCATGCTTTTAGATAGGCTTCTACTGTTTTTTTTTAATTTTATTTAGAATAATACTTGGGTACTAATGGATGGGTAATAATTGTGTACTAACTAAAGCATAGTACGGGTACTATAAGCATAGTACGGTACTATGCTTTAGTAGTACACAGATTAGTACCCATCCATTAGTACCCATAGCATCACTCTTTATTTTATTATTAGCAGTAGTTGAATAAAATTACACGGTTCAATTAATCTCTGAGATTTGAAAATACAGAGCTTCAGTGCACCCTTATTACAAACGAAAAAAGATTTGAAATTCATGATCTCTTGATAATTAACAAGAACTCTATCGAATCACTTGCCAGTTAGGTTTGCTTTATTTTCTTTCTCTGGAGGGAAATTAAACTCAAATTAATTAAGTTCCATTAAGTAATATGATCTGAATGGGGGTCCAGTATCTATGAATTAGATCAAGAAGATGTTTTGATCAAAATCTAATGAAAATGACTTTAATGAAATGACTTTAGATTTAGTGCTGGGCTGGTATTAATTAGTTTACCAAATAAACATGTGCACTACAAGAACAGTGGAAGAGTGGGGGTGATCTTACTGACTATCTTGAAATTTCATCACCGAATTTCCACATTCAGTCCAATGAAAATCTTTTTAATTACATTTTTAACATGGCTTTCCTTGAAAAAGGTGTGTAAACGAGTAGAAAACAAAGAAAAGAGCACACAGGTCCACCGTTATAATACAGCTGAAAATCAGAGCAACGGTTTTGTCTGTCGTCTGATTAATTAGCATGAATCCCAGTAGGAAATAATTCAAGAAAATATGGAGATGCCTGGATGATATTACAATGGAGAAGTGGCCAAAAAAACAGTTTTGTCCGATTATAAATACGTTCATCTCAATCAACTCCAAACTGATTTCTGGACCCAGAGATCATTTTCTTTGGCCCCTTCAAAACCCACCACTAGCAGACGCATGCATGAAAAACAGCAAAGTTACTACTCAATGCAATTAACTACAGTATAATTATTCAAATATATATAAAAGGAACTGAGCTGAGCCTGAGCTAGCCTGAGCCAAGAAAGAAAAGAGACAATATTTGATATTTGGTTTGTATTGCTGGTGGCCAATCAATCAGGGATTGTGACAAAATTAAGAATTGTTTTCATATGCAGAGAATTGCTGATAAGTCTGGGAGTTTACAGTTAAGTTCCTGTTTGATGGGTTTGTTTATGCCTCGGGAAGCCTAGTTTTGATTGTTGATTTAAATAGGACTTACAACATATCCAAAGTTTGTCATATCGGCAAAGTAATACCCAAAAAGTTTTAAAACTATAAATAAGTATCTTCCGTCATGGTTGTTAGTGATTTTTGTTTTTTTTTTTTTCTAAATTTGCTAATTTAACAAACACCCCACATATAAAAAATTTATAAAATAACAAAAACACTCCAACCCAGCAGTGCCAGATTCACCCACCACCGCCAGAATCTGGTCGAAAAATTACGTTATGACACAGACCCGTCGGATCTGTGTTCGTAACGCGTCGATCTGGCTTTTTTTGGCCAGATTTGCCACGGATCTGGCCGACAAAGGCCAGACTACGTCCGATCTGGCTGTCGAGAGTTTTGCAGCCTCAACGGCAGATCTAGCCGTAGATCTGAACTTTTCGACTAGATCCGCCACGATCTGGTCTCGAGAGTTTTGTGGCCTTTCCGACTAGATCCGTAGATCGACACGTTACGACACAAATTCGACGGGTCTGTGTCGTAATGCAATTTTGACAGATTCATGCGATGGTGGCCGGAATCTGACACTGGGGGTGGTGGGGGTGTTTTGTCATTTTATAAAAATTTATATTGGGATGTTTAGTTAAATTAACAAATCTATAGGGTTTTTTTAGAAATTTTTAAATTTATAAAAAAACTAAAATATCAAACTTTTAAGGGTATTCTAGTATTTTTACTATTATCAAATAGAAATCACTAATAGCACGTGACGGAAGGTACCTATTTATTGTTTTAAAATTTTTTAGGTATCAATTTGTATTATAGAAAACTTTGGTATGTGTAAGTAGTTCAGCCTTTAAAATACTACATTTTAAGTCTTGTTGTAAAGAGACAAAGCGCATTGCACGTTCTTTTTTAAATCTATTTCTCAATTGTCTTCATTCATCCCTTAGTCTATTTGACATTAACCGTGATTTAAGGGATTTGGATTTGGAAGTTCATGACATGAAATTGAATATTAAAGTCTTGTCATTGTAGTTTATTCTTAATTTACTTCCAGAAATCACTGCTAAAGTTTGTACTCCAGCGTCTAATCATAAACCCTGACTTGGTGACTCTCTAATAAATTAATTTAACATCTCTAATCAAAATGGATTCATACGCAGGTAACAACTGATATAAATAATAAATATGGGTACGTTTGGTTTATATTTTGGATAGAATTTTAGGAATAATATTGGGTAGTTGGATAGGAGGTATTACGAGATAAAAATTTAAAAATGTATGAAAAAGCCCCTAGGTTTGCTAATTTAATTAAACACCCTAATATATAAAATGATAAAAACACCCCTACCACCCGTAGTGCTAGATTCCGACCACCATCACCGGAATCTGGTCAGAAAATTTTGTTACTACACAAACCACTCGAATCTGTGTCGTAACGCATCGCTATGGCCTTTTTCGGCCAGATCCACGGAAAAGGCCACATCTACGACCAAATGTTGCCGTCGACGGCCAGAAAAGGCCAAAGAAGTTCATCTTTGGCTGTCAGCGACGGCCAGATCTGGCCTTTTTCGGTCAGATCTGTGGTGGATCTGGCCAGAAAAGACTAGATCGGTGAACTACCGGCCAGTTATGGTTGTGGTGTAGGCCGTTGTACAGATTCCGGCTACCACCGACGGTGGTTGCCAAAATCTGGCAAGTATGGGATGATGGGGGTGTTTTTGTTAATTTTTAAACTTTTTTCTGGGGGTATTTAATGAAATTAATAAACTTAAGGGGTCTAAAAGTAATTAAAAAATATAGTAATAGTTTTGGAATAATGTGCCAAACAATATTTGAAAAATAAGATTCGGAATATGGGTAGAAATATTGAACCAAACGCACCCAATGATTTCTAGACAGGAAAACATTGTTACTCATATTCTCTCTTTGGAATATTTTTGTTTGATCTTACACCTAATCAAATCCTTTGTTTGGTATACACAATAAAATTTCAACAATATGTATAACAGTAAAAGACTTTTTCCCAACCAAATAATGATTCAATGACACTTTCTCACCACCATACTATTAAAATACTATTTTACTATCAAAATTTATATTCCATTTTATCGTTGTAATCTCACACCATCACCATTCTCTTCCTTGATTATCACTCACCAAAACTCCTCAAACCCTATTCTTGCCGACCTCACCAATTCCGACAAACGAGATATTAGGGTTTGCACAGCCACTCCTCCCAAGTCAAATTCTGATCAATCTCAACCACCAAAATCTAATATTCTACCACCAAAAGACTCATCGGCCTCCTCTCGTCAAAAGGGCCAACAACTTGGACAAAGTTTGCTCTCTATTTACCGCTGAAATATAAATTTGGGTAGTAAATTGGTATTTTAAAAGTCTATGGGTAGGAAAGTGTCATTAAGCAATTATTTGGGTGAGAAATAATAATAATTACAATTTCTTTCAAATAATATAAACATGAAAAAAATTGATTTAAAAAATATATTTTATTATCTTGATGTTAAGATCACTAGCATAATCTTCATATAATATGAAGTTAAATATTAATACATGCTATACTCTTAATATTGGGCCGCGAAAGCCCATTATAATCGGTCCCATTTTATATTAACTTAATAGTGGGCCTACTCAAAACATGGGCCCAGACCAGCCCACTCAAACTTTTAGCTCTATCTACTCTTCCAGGCAAATTGAAAACATCAGCTACAGTTTCCATCCTAAAACCACTGCCGTTCCCGACGTTATCCCAATTCGCATTCAAATACCCAAAAGAACATGGCAATTTCCCTGCAATTCCCGGTGGCATCCATCACCCCAAAAACCTCAGTCAGACCGCAACCTCCACGTGTCAGTCACCAAATATCTTTCCATCACCCAAAACCCACAAACATCACAGCATTGAGAAAAAACCGATCTGTAGTGATTAAAGCCATCGAAGAAAGCCAAGAAAGCACGGAGAAATCAGAGGCCGGTAATGACGCGGAATCTGAAACGGTGAGTAGTGCTGGTAGTGAGCCGAGTGCGGAGTTGAGCCAGTTGGGATCGGAGATAAAGAAGGTTTTGCAGGAGAGGAAGGAGGAGAAAGAGGGAGATTTGTTGAGTGGGGTTTCGGAGGAGATTAGGGAGATAGAGTGGCCGGCGTTTGGTAAAGTATTGGGAACGACAGGTGTCGTGCTGGGTGTGATAGCCGGGTCGAGTGTCGTTTTGCTCACTGTGAATTTCGTTTTGGCTGAATTGTCTGATCGGGTTTTTGCTGGTAGAGGCGTTCAGGATTTCTTTGGATAATCTGATAGAAGTCCAATTTGGAGTTTGAAATGAAAACATATTTTCCATAATCTTGTATTAATTATGCGATCAAGTAACAGTTTCAGTAAATTCTTAGCCGCAATCTTTGTGTTGGCTACCGATGTTACACATATGAGAGGCTTGAATGAAAAATCCGGAGTTATCTATGACTCAAAATTTCATAAACATAAAATAGCATAGAACAAGGTGATAATGGCGAAGAACCTGTAACTGAGGCGGCATCCATATGTGTGCTTGAGTTGTTCAACACTTTTTCTTAAATAATATCTGCAAATTGACAAACAAACATGCCCTCTTTCATTCTGAGACGATCAACCACAATTATTCAAGAAAATCTCATCTAGCAAGCTCTAAAAAATCATTTCCAGAACAGAAAATACAACATATATTTTACTCGTTTGAGCTTCCCGTCTACCACTCATTCTTCACCTCATTCTCAGACTTTCGAATCCTANTCTCCACCCGATAGTTATGAAAAACGGGTTGGTGCTTTGTGATCTCCACCCGATAGTTATGAGGAACGGGTTGGTGCTTTGTGATCTCCACCCAATAGTCATGAAAAGTGGGATGGTGCTGTGTGAACTCCACCCGGCCGTGCCTCCGGTAAGATGAGGCCGTGACATATAACAGAAATTAATAAAAGAAAGCTGTGTGAAAGAGAAACAGAAACAGAATAAGTGTAAGGAAAGAATTAAGAGAATGAGCTACGGGGATAGACAAGTAACGGTTTTACTTACTGAGCATTATTTTGTGCTCACCCCGTTATTTTCCTTTGTGGATGCAGGATCTAAGTGATGATGCAGTCGGAGGGGCGTCGGCAAGCGAAGAGCAATAGCTACACTGTTCCCCTGTTTTTGAATGATATTTTGTAAATGATACTCTTTTTTGTACAAAGAATGTATATAAGTAATACAAGAAAATTTCTGGGCCCATTTACTTTTATTATTATACATGTATTTTACTAGTATATAGCAGTTGTTACACCGTCGTTTTCTTCTTTCTCTTCATTTCGCTCTTTGCTTCACCCACTACAAAAAAAGAAAAAAAAAGGGCTACAATAACACTTTTTGGAAATATGTTAATAATATGTATCTATTGTAGCATTTCTTGTGAAAATGTTATGAATATAGTTTTGATAAGTAACACTTCATATGTTTATAACTCATCATCTATCAATTGTTAGATATGGTTCATACATTGTATGGGCTTGAAGTCCCTACACAAATGCATTCGGGGTCCTACTCACTAGTGAGCGGGTGGGAGTGAGGGGACAACGCCTTTTTCGCAATCTTCACTCAAATTCCCCTCTGTTCGCACAAAAACCACCAAAAATGCTAAATTAAAACCACCAACAAACACTGTTATTCTTAAAATCATGTTCTTCTTCTCTACTAATACACCAATTGGCAACAATAGCAAATCAGGGCTCGAATACCATGTTTTCTGCCTCCTTTCTCGCCGATTCAAATAGCACAGAAGACAGATACCTCTCTCCAAAGCTAGGAAATATTACCTGCATCAGTAAATCGCAACTCCATTTTTAAGCTAAAGGAGAGGCAAGTATAAAAAATTACACCAAATGTGCAGGCGAATTTTATATTTTCTAGAAGCTGCTTTCATTTTCTTAACCACATGAATGCTACTATTGAACAGTGACGATGGTGCTATGATTTCTGGTGCAAGTGGATACACATGTAACTATCAATTTCAGTTTGTTAAGTTTTCTTGATGTGGGCCTAAGGCAGAAGTAGCAATAGAGGTTATGTGAAATTTTGAGTAGCAAGTAATCTCTAGCGTGATGGAAAAAAAATGATGAATAAAGGACAAAGAGGGATTGTCTCTTGGTTCTGTAGATTTAACTTTGAAACCCATCTACAAAACAAGGTTTTTATTGAAGTTGAGAATTTATATATTCTATTGCTGTTTCATTATACTATTTATATTTATCGATGATGATGATTCTAAAGGAAACATGTACTTGCACATCTAACCTTTATTTTTTATTCTGTTTTGGGAGGTGAGATCACAATCAGCCAATCCTTGTTAACTTACAAAAAGAAAAAGAGGTAGTGACAACTTTTTGAAACCTTAGACTAAGGGATGAAAAGTAGAGTGCATTGTTGTAAACTAGGATTGATTATCCGCCGAGGGATAAACAAAGTAGAAAAAATATGTATAAACAAATAATGGGATATTGGAAAGTTCATACCAAGATGTAGACAGAGTTCACAAAGAGCCAGAAAGTTGTAGCTAATGGTTTTGAGATAAACTAGGCCTACTATGTTTGACTTAAAATGTTGATTTTCAAACTGATATCAGAGCAGCCTCTGTTTAGGTTCATGTTAGCCAGAGCATAAATTACTAAGTTGGATTCTTTAACTATAGCTAGAGCTTTTTAAATGATTAATGAGGTATAGAATTGATTATAAGCCGATGTCATTGCCCTTCTTGATTGGCTGCTGAGAGTGCAATTATTTGTTCTAGAGATCATAGATGAATCATGCTTAATATTGTGCTCATGTCATTATTACGAAGGCCAAAACCATAGAGCATAAGACACTTGTTTACTCTTTACGCAAAATATTTGCACTACATAAATAAACCCATGAAGTTTGTGACAAAGTAGTCAGTACAATGCATGTGATTGTCAGCCAAGTCAAAGGCTCAAAGTAGTCAGTACAATGCATCTTTGCATATTTTAATTGCAATGCCCTTGCTTTTACATGTAACGTTTGTTTACATTTTCTAGATTGAGTATGATGCTGATAGGAACTCACTCCAATAACTCAATAATTTGGGTTGGGTCATGGGTCTTTCATGGGCTTGGGTAAAACTCTCCTTGAAAAACGGGCTTGCCAAGGGAGGATGCCCAAACCTTTATAACCCACATGCTCACTCTTTTCCCTTTCAATGTGGGATCCTAACATTCCACCACACTTCCGCAACCGACATCCATGTCGCCTCTTTGCCTCCGTCGGCCTCTTTATCCCTTGGATGACTACGCGGATCCCCTTTCCCTCAAGCCTCCATGCCCTTTCTCGGGGTAGCAGCCCGGGCCCAAGGTCAGCCTGCCACGTGTGCGCTGCCACATAGGTGCAAGATCATGCTCTGATACCAATTGATAGAAACTCACTCCAATAACTCAATAATTTGTGCTAGGCCATAGGTCTTTCATGGGCTTGGGTAAAACTCTCTTTGGAAAACCGGCTTGCCAAGGGAGGGTGTCCAAGCCTTTATAACCCACATGCCCACCGTTTTCCCTTTTAATGCGAGATCCTAACATTCCATTGATAGGAACTCACTCCAATAACTCAACAATTTGGGCTAGGCCATGGGTCTTTCATGGGCTTGGGTAGAACTCTCCTTAGAAAACCGGCTTGCCAAAGGAGGGTGCCCAAGCCTTTATAACCCACATGCCCACCCTTTTCCCTTTCAATGTGGGATCCTAACAGATGCTCAACAAGAACACCTTAGCATGTACTTCACCAAGATTCAAAACAACTTGTTCTTTGTCTATTGTTTTGTAGGAACCGAGGATAGGAACTTTTTTAAATTATATTGCTCATAAAGAACTGTGAATTATGTTGCTTGTTCTCAGCTAAAGATGATATAAAGTAGTCTACAATCTTCTGGTGCTGATTTCTTAAACAAGAGAAATACTTGGAAAAAAGGCCAAAGTTTGGACTTGTTTTTAAGGTTACTTTCCTTTTTTTATTTTACATAATAATATGATTTCTTTGGACACATAGGATAACTTTGTATGTGACTGTGCATATATAATAAGTATACAAAAACAAATACATAGCTGTTTGCATATGTAGTTTGAAATGTGAATCATCCATTGCATCAGCAGCCTGACTCTATCAAATTTAACAATTCTAATATAATTTTTTCAGGCCTTGTCAGATGTCTTTGAACCTGTTAAGCTATTGAGCACAGATTTAGTTAAACCATTAATAAAATACACTAATCTAGATTATGTTCTGATTCAGCTACAAATGAATTGGCAGTCCACTGCAGTTTTGCAAAACTGCAGTCCACAGTGGGAGGGTGCATTCAATACATTTGTCGATGAGATAAATGCTATTGCCGCTTATCATTGGTGGGAGGGTGCAATTTACAGCATTCTTGCTATTCTTGCATATCCCCTTGCATGGTCCTGGCAACAATGGCACAGGAGGATGGAACTACAACGATTACTTGAATTTGTTCGATCAGAATATGATCATGCTTGCTTACGGTCATGCCGTTCACGAGCTCTCTAGGAAGGGCTTAAGGTTTTTCTACTGAACTAATGTTTTAATTGGTTTTATTGTTGTGATTTAAATTGACCTATAAAGTTGTGGGGTTGTTGTTCCATGTCCAATTCTTCCTTGCACATGCTGTATGTTCCTCCTTATAAATTACATTTCAGCTTATTGGCTGTTTGAGATTGTTTAGGCTTATTATCCCATCCATTTCCTTTTGTTACATACCCATACCTGAATGGTATGTATGCATACCCCTACAAAAGGAAATTTTTTTTTTTTTTTTTGGTTTTACTGGATAATTAAATGATGTTATGCCGTTGTGAATGTGTATAGTGATTATGCAAACAAAATTATTGGTCTAACTATACATTTTCTTTACTGGTTTGCAGTAGACATAATTATTTGTTATTCATTCTCATTGGAGTTCTTTACTACTTTTGATGTCCTTAATCTGTTAAACTGCCTGTATTTTGGATTTGCTATTATCTCTATGTTTCAAATTAGTCTTTGGTGCTACCCGCCGGGAAAATGGTACTTATCTGGGACGAATAGTTATTCTGTTGTGGACAAAAAATTTCGTCACAAATAACTAATCTTTAATGACGAAATTGTATTTCATCCCCAATGACATGGCTTTGGAGACGATTTGTTCTGTTGTCCCATATTACTTTTTAAGATGAATTTTTCACTTTCTGTGATGAAAACTTGTCACTTTTTTTTAAATTTCTTGTAATGGGCCCCTACTGGACAAGGAAAAATTTCAAATTCCCGTATGTTTTGTGTGTTGACATTAACACCCATTTATAATTGTTATTTATCATAGAGTATTCTTCTGCATATCCCTTTAACCTCCTTCAAATAGAATTCCTCAAACCCTAGGTTTTATTGTCTTATGTTTTTGCTTTTCAGGAATCTATTACACTTATATTGCTAGATTGTACTTTGGTAATAACCAAATAATAAAAAAAGGACTGATTATTCACTTATGATTGGCTCTCTTTTGTGCTGGAAAATGTAATCTGGGATGCATGGTTCTGTTGTCTGACGCATTTTCCGTGTCGGAAAACACCGTATTTCAATATAGTACTATCTCTATTAACGTTTCAAATTTAGATTTTATATGATGAACTTGCTTGATCTTTAGAGAAAGCTCAAAATTTATATGAATTTTACATTGGACGTTTTCTCTTAATCAATTTAACATTATAGTTGATGGGAATTAATCATGCTACTCCTAATTGTCTTTTATATAGCACTGTTTTAAAACCCAGACCAGATCGGCCGGTCTGACTGGGACCCGGGCTCCACTTCGGTCCGGATTGTTATTAAACCTGTAAATACTAAAAGAGTCACTTTGGACCAATATTGGACTGGTGTTATAGTGCAAACCGTCCAATCCGATCGGCCCAAAACTTATTCCAGTCCATTAATTGAACCCTAAAAAAAAAACCTAATCTTAATTCCCTTGCATCGGTTTCATTCGCCATAGACCATTTCAGTTGTCGCAACTTCCATTTTCATCTCCAAACCGCAACTTCCATTTTCATCCTCTCTAAAGTGTAAAGTTTATGCTTACTTCCTCATCTTCTTCAACTTACTTCCTCCATCGAAATCCAATCTTCTTCATTGAAATCAAAGACCTGGATTTCGTTAACGAAATCGTGACTACGGTACTACGTCAGCTTCGTTTTGCTCTTAGACAGTAGAGTAGACATGCAGTCCATCATCAGGATGTTAAGCTTGCTCATCTCGGTCATGATCATGTTGAGTAATTATGGATTCACGAATCAGCTCCTTTACCATTGCTCCAACACCTATTGTTTTTGTATCAAAATCGTTCTTCTTCTATGCAACTCTTTCAACTTCGTCAACCTTCTGCTTCTGCACTTGCTCTCTTCTCTCTTTGTTCGCCTCCATCACGGTCATAGATCTTTTGAGTTGTGTTGGAGATTTTCTAGAGTATTCATAGATGCTGTAATGCCCCACTCGCGGTATGTAGCTAATGTCTCTTACTTTACTCTTGTTGACTTGGAATATTGTTAATATGGTTTGGTTGCCCTGAAATTGTAGAGACTTGGTGGAATTTTGGGGTTACTATCTTCGCCGGGGTGAAGAAGAATCGTCGCCGCAGCAATGAGGCCCTGCAACCCACGGTGTAGGTTGTGAAGTTTCCCCCCCCCCCCCCCCCCCCCCTCGGCGGCGAAAGAATAGTCTTCGCCGCGCGACAGAGCCTAACAAAAGCTTGAGTTTTAGAGAATTCTTTCCTTTGGGCACAATGACCATTTTACCCCTAATTAGTAGGAAAAGTGGGGAGTGAAATGAAGGAAATTCATGGAGAGATAGTTTGTGGGGGTGATTGTAATAACAAAAGGATATAGATGGAATTCTTAAGGAAAAAGTAAGGGAAATGGGAAATGATGGAGAAAATTGCTATAAAAGGGTAATGTAGAAAACTTCATATCTTCTTACACCGCCTCATTCATTCCCATTTCTATCAAATTTTTCTTAAGATTTAATGGATTGAAGGGTTTTTAGTTAGATCGGGTAGAAAATCAATCTAAGGCATCCTAAGGTAAGGATTCTTGCTTTGGATGTGAAGTTTTGTGAGATTTTGTGTATATTTGAATATTGAGGTCTTTTGGTTGAATTGTTTAATTGTTTAAGGGGTAGAGAAAAGTCAAGCAAACCAAGAGAAAGGTAGTGCTAGTGGGATCTCTCCATCACAAGGTAAGTAAATCCCAACCCAAGTTGAGAATTGAGAATTCTTTTGAGTAGATATTTAGTAGAAATGATGTATGCATGTTTTATGTATGTATTTGAGAAATTGAGTAGAGATATATGTCTACTTGTTGAGAAATTAAATTGAGATAAGTATTCATGATGAATTGTTTGATACTTTTCCTTTATAGGAAGTGTGGATGTTTGATTGATTGAGATGAAGTTAGATGAAATTGAGTATGTATTTTGGGAGTGTTCTTCTATGGTAGGGATTATGCCCATGGAAGGGAAATTACTTCCAATTTGGATGGTTAAAGAGAGAAATAGAGTTGTAGTTAGAGGAGAGTTTTATATGCACATGAGTTGTTTGATGAAATGCCTAAGAGAAGCATGAGAATGAGTTATGAACCTTAATTATTACAACATTGCATATTAGCATTTCCTAAGTGCATTAATGAGCATGAACCATCCATATGCATTAATTGACTTAAGAAAGAGTAGAAAACTTTGTGTATGCATTTGCTCTATGAGTAGAGAACTTTGTAAATGCAACTACTCTAAGGGTAGAGAGAATGAGAAGTACTAGAGTAGAGTGAATGAGAAGAGCATGAGAAACGGGTTGATGCTTTGTGATCGTCACCCGATAGTTATTAGAAACGGGTTGATGCTTTGTGATCGTCACTCGATAGTTATTAGAAATGGGTGATGCTTTGTGATTGTCACCCAAAAGTCATGAGAAACGGGTAGGTTCTTTGTGGTTTCCACCCGATAGTTATGAAAACCGGATATGTGCTTTGTGATCCCCACTCGGTAGTCATTAAGAGTGGGTTGGTGTTGTGTGAACTCCACCCGACAATCATGAAGAGTGAGATGGCGCTGTGTGAACGCCATCCGGCCGTACCTCCGGTAAGATGAGGCCATGACGTTAGTAGAAAACACTAGAAAGAAAGTGTGAGGAAGGAATTAAGAAAAATAGTTACAGGGATAGACAAATAGAGGGTTTACTTACTGAGCATTATTTTGTGCTCACCCCGTCATTTTCCTTTGTGGATGCAGGATCTAGGTGCTGATGCAGTCGGAGGGGCGTCGGCAAGCGAGGAGTAATAGCTACACTGTTTCCCTTGTTTTTGTCTTTTTAAATGGCATTTTGTAAATAATGCTCTTTGTGTATAAAAGATTTATTACATATAATAAAAAGAAAAGTTTTGGGCCCATTTTCTATTATTATTATGCAAGCATTTTACTAGTTACAGCAGTTGTTACACGGATCTTTTGAGTTGTGTTGGAGATTTTCTAGAGTATTCATAGATGCCCTCACCCACACGTGGCTGGAGTTAAGCAGTGCCTGTCCTACCTCTCACATGCCAACAATTATGAACGTACACGTATCATCTGATAATTTAAAATGATAGAAAGTGTAGGTGTAATTGGGTTCATTTTCCAACAAAACATAAAGGCTCCATGAGTTGTAATAAAAACCCATTTTGCTATGCGTCCATTACTTCATTTGCATTTTTAAATTCTAGAAAACACAATTAAATAAACCCAAAAAATTCTTTCAATCTCAGCTCACCAATCCAACCGATGGTCCAACTGGTTGACTCGTGACCCAGTCACCTTGCTGGGTCTTACAACGGGTCGGTTTTTAAAACAGTGTTATATATGTTGGCACATAACTTGGAATGAAAATTTTGAAATATTTTTTGGATACATAGTAATATTATTCCTCTACTATCTGACTAACTAGAAAAATATCAATAATAAGTAACAGTACAATGCTAATCAAATATTCCAATTTCTGTCCAAAGTTTAACTCGCTGAACAAAAGTAGTAGTTTAAATCTTAATATATTCCATTCAAATTAAAATACAACAGATTGAGGTTCATGAAAGTCCAATATACAAAAATTTATGTCTGCCCCTTTTGTTAATTATCCAATCTATTTGTATATCAACTCAACTGGAAGCCTGTTTTGGGAATAACAGAACCTCAATCAATTACAAAAAGCCATGGAGAAGAAAATAGCTTGTAAGAAAAGAAAAAAAGAAAAAAAGTAAGTGATTAACCATTAAACAATTCTCACCTGCATGAGATTTATGACATCACAAAAAGTTTGTATTAAAGTGAGTACAAGGAGAACAATAGCGGCAATAACAGAAACAGTAGTCCATGGAGTTTTAAAATAATCTTGTTTCAAGATTGCCTTCCACTTGTGCCAAGGAGCTTTGCAGTACTTGTTCAGATCTTCAGCAAGAGAAGAAAAATGGAAATAATACGCATCGAAAGTAGTTTGTTCCACAAGTTTATGAAAAAGAGTTGATACTCGTGAATTATCCCCTAGTGGATTCTCAACAATTTCATGTCGAACAAGTAATTCTACATCTTTGGGAGTGTTTACAAGATAATTCATGAGTATAACATAGTCACTTAAGAGATTATCATTGCATTGACATTGCTCGAAGGCCAAAAGATTTTTCAGTATATATTCCATCGGGCTACATATATTGAGTTGTGGAATTTCCAATATCCCATTTTTGAATTTTAAAGCAAATAAGTTTGAAGTTGATCCCAACTTAAACTTTACTCCAGCTTTATTTAGCTGTGTAACACTGGGTGTGGTTAGGATTTTAGGTCTCTTCTCAGATTCTATCCCGGAATAAGGTTTCATACTAATTCTTAGGAAATGAACAAGATGTTTCACTCTCAAATAATTGCTTTTTTCAAAGTGATTCTCTATACCTAAAAAACCCCAATGAAATCTAGTGAATTCATGAGTCATCTCATGAATCGAAAGTTTATTGTCATCTTTGTCAGAGGATATGTCAATATTGGCTCGCGTAAACAAGTCCTCAAGGATAAAAAAAGGAAGCTGATTTTCAAGCAAATACATGTCATCATTTATATCATGTATTATATATGGATGACTGAATACTCGATCAGAGATAGGAATTTCCTCCATAATATTCCTCAATAATACCTCAATAATAAAGATACCATCCATTAAAATCATTTTCACAAAGTCATCACTGTTAAGTTCAATGCTTTCTGCATAACAATTACGGACCATTTCTTCCTTTTCCTTTATAACTTTTATAAACTCTACCAAACTTACCTCAGTTCGCTGAAGAAAATCTGCTAAGTACCTTCTTTTGTATTTTTCCATTGCTTTTAACTCTTGTCTACCATGATGAATTGGACCAATGGAAACTATTCGAGGTTTGAATGCCTTTTCATCTAATTGACGTAGACTTTCAGGAACTCTGTGGATAGTGCATCCTGCAGATAAAGGATGCAAGGTATCCAACTCTCTCTTCACGGAATTGGCCAATGGCAAGTACAAGTAATCGATGTCAATCTTCGTGCATTCGCGTCCTTCTATTTGTTCACTTTCTCTTTCAACAATCTCCATCTTACGACGAAATTGAGTGGAATATCACTAAGATCACAATCAGGAAATGTGTTCTTAGATGATCTCAACCTTTTGAAACTCTATACAAAGTTCTTTATAAGGCCTTATCTTATCCTTTTATGGGTGACATGCCGGATTGTATTTATAACAAAAGGTATATGTATGCCTAAGTGCAAAGCGAATTCTTGATTATGCATCAGTTCGAAATTCTCAGATGCGAACATCTGCTGGACTTTTGTTATTTAACACCAATGATTATTAGTAAAAGACAATTCTCAATTTTCGATACAAAAAATTCTGAATAAAATTTTGGTCTTTAGTACAAGATAGCGCCAATAAACCAAGACTAATGAGATTAAAATATGGACGCTCACTGGAGAGATGAACTGATGTATCAATTTGCAAACTCAAAAGTAGCACAGAAAACAAATATATTAGAGCTTATTTAGATACCCACGGTACTTTTAAGATCACAACCCAAGCGTTGAATTTTCTGCTGCTAAATTTCTTTCATTTATCATTGTTCAATGATTTAAACAGCTTGCTTTCATGTTCAGGACTGTTTGTAGGGGGAAGAGCTTGGATCTTTATATAAATGGCTTTAACCATGACAAAGCCATTTTCAAAATACCCTTATGTATTAATTTAAAGAAAGAAATTTCCTAAGAAAAAGAAAAGAGAAGCAACATCGTATGTACCTGTAACCTGAGAGCTCCATTTTTTTTATCCATGTGCGAATTTAATGGACATTGAAATGAATAGAGAATATCATATGACAAATTTGCTTGAGCTGAATGTAGAATCCTGATCATCAGACGTTACATTTGCAATTAATTCTTCTTTGTTTCAAATCCAATGCAAAAGTAATTAGTTTTTTATTTTTTTATTTTAATTTTTGTTAAAATTGTATTGCAGATAACCATGGATTCACATGTGGTGATGAACGATCTTGTAACCTCCCATCTCGATTTTTTCTCCCCGTTCTTTATTACAAATTTATCCTTATTTAATAAGGAGATTGGGGATGTTTAACAAATAAGTAGGGGTCGTTAAAAAGATTTTTAACTTGTAAGGAATCCATGATATGATATTATCTAGGCCCATTAAGCAGGAATTTTTAATGTATCCAATATTTTAGGTAAATATCTCGTGTACAGGGTTATTAAGTTTTTCCGATTCGGTCACATGTCCTTCATTATTATTATTATTATTATTATTATTATTTTTTTATTTATTTTTTTTTTTTGGGTGGTAACTGACAAGTTTATAAAGAATAAAGAATACATCATAAGACAGGGACAGCCCTGCAGAGCCGACTCCTGGACATGCCGAAGAGCCACGCCTAACAAAAGGAACAAAAAATCCAAGGATAAGCAATCGTAACCCAACACTAACAGCACCTACAAGGAGCAAGGAGCAACAACCTTGGGGCAAACAACCCATCCCTTTACACGGGCAGCACAATCACCCTAGGACGAAATCTATACACTGCTGCCCGCTCCAGATAGCACTACACAAAAGCCAAAAATCTGCACTTCCTAGAGAAAATACACAGGATACACAAGCAGAAATCCCAAAGCAGCAGCAAAAATTAACCACCAACTTTTCACCAGACCCCTCCTCACACATATACCTTGCATATNACTTATACAAAAGTTGGAATACAAATTCACAATTTTACCAATCACATCTCACATTTCTCAATTTTCCTTCAATTGAATAAATGATGTTTTTGCAAGATTCGGAAACAAAGTTGAGTTAATAATAAGTTTGGTCAAGTAGATATTGTCTTAGTAATTGAACTTCATTCTCCTTAACTTAAAATCAAAAACTATTTTAAAAATAAATTTAACTCAAATTTCCAGCTAAATTGAGGCTTAATTACCAATAAGGTCGTAACAAAGTTCTCAATTTAGAATTTCAACTACTCAGTCTAACGGGTTCTTTTTATCTAGTTGTATTCATAAATGAGGAGAATTGTCGGTAGAAGTAGAACTTCTATTAAAAATTAACCCAATTGTAATAAAATATTAATCGATTTAATAATGTTTAACAATAATATGTTATAATATATTACAAAATCATACTAGACCTCCTAGACTAAATACATAGTGTTGGTTAAGTACTTTGATCATTGAACTCGATTTTAGCTCCAAAACTAACCTTATTTTTTCGATGATGATGAGCGGCAAGAACAATAACTAAGTGTGTTGTTTTTGCATACCCTTTTCTGTATTCAAGTCGAGGAAGCAGCAAAGAGGGAAAGATCAATATGAAGAAGATGAAGGAATCAATGCACCAACAGTTGGTCACATTGATGGAGACAAAGGCCCTTTATTTGGAAACCCTAGAGTTGACGGAGATGCCGATGCTTACCTTAAAAAGAAGCATGAAACTTTCAACTACGAGTCACCATTTTAATTAGTTCAAGAAAGTGCGTATCATTTGCATATTATAAATTTGTTCTATATATCTTCTTCTCCGTGTAAATCAATGCATAAGTTATCAAAGGAGTATAATGGAAATGATCACACCTCATGCGTCTTCTTCTTCTTCTTCTTCTTTCAGAGACCAGAAAATGGAAATCCAGAAAGCAGAGGTCCATAATTTTGAGAATTTTCGAGTATATATATCCTTTCTCCTTCTCCGGCCCTCTTCTTCTTGTGTACGCATAAGTTATCAAATGAATATAACTATTACACGTTGAAATTTTATTTTAGATTCTCTCTCCCTCAATTTACAGGTGTTGTGCATGATTTTTCGATGGCCAGATTTGTGCCACCTGTCTATAAACTATACCGAGATTTAATGATCAAAATCATCCTAAGTGTCGCTCCTACAGCAGATGATTTAACCAATAAGCTTATCAATCCTAAGCATGGGTGAGGACTGACTCAGATCCAGATTAAGGAGGATTATGCGTGTAATCCACCTTGTAACACAAACTCCCAACCACTGTTAGACGGTGTGTATAAAATGGAGGCGGTTGTATAAAATGGAGGCGGTTGTATAAAATGGAGGCACCACCTCCATTTTGAACTATGCTGGATTGAATACACTCAAGCATAGGAAACCATTTAGAAAGAGCATCAGCTCTCTATCTTGTGTGTAATCCAAATATAAGCAATAAGACATTAGAGGATGTAGGCTTGGTTCTAACCCGTCGAACCACTTTAAAAACCTCTTGTCTATTCCTGTTGTGGATATTATAATCCATTCCAAACTGATTATTTATAATCACGCACATATCCTACGTAGTTCCGTCGTAATCGATTGGATATCTCTGATTGTTACGAGTTTTCATAACAACATTTTCCATATCTAAGGATTTCTGACATGGATTAATACATAATTACCTGATCTAAAGTAATGGTGAAATTTACTAAGAATTATTGAAGAGAATAATGAGAAGAAAAACGTTGTTTTGACTAAAAAATCTAAAAATTAATGCATCCGACTAACTAATGAGTCCATGTTAATTTATCTCTTTATCTTTCACTAAACATCTGTGTGTGATAGATTTTTATTGGTTCAATTAATATATACACGGTGAAGTATATAAACTGGCATTGTTAAAAGCTGGAGAGTGAAGGTTTATTCACCATCACGCATGGACGGACCTCATTAATATGCATAATCTTCTATTTTGATGTTTAGATTGTATTTGTATTTATATTTCCAAATTTGACCTCAGTCACATGTTTTTTTCGCATGTATATGAAATTATTTACAATCTCATTTATCTAATTTTCCTATAATTAATGTTAATTACTTTGGTTACCCTCTCTAACATTAATTTAACTGCATATTTAAAAAAACATGCATTATTATATTGACATATAACAAAATTTTAATAACTAACTTTAATAAAGGGGTATTTTTGTTATTTTATTTTAATTTTAAAAGCTAAGTTATAATCAACTAATCTTGTATTACTTTAAAGGACTAAAATAATAGAATTTAAAACAAAAAAATTTTAAAAAAAAAAATTGAGGCTTAAAATCACCAATAAGCACATTACAAATTTCTGAATTTAGAATTCTCATGAGTGGATTAAAAAGAGGCATCACTCAATCTCATTCAGATTCCATTAATTTTTGTCTTATTTTATTATTTTAATATAAAGTCCCTCTTCGGTTCTCAATGATTTCTGTCTTATTCACAAAGGGTTAATAATTCAACACCCCCTCAGGTTTCAAAGCTTCCAACGGACTAAGAAGAACATTAGGTCAACACTTACACCCCAAACTGTGAGTGAAGTTAAGGGCTTAGGGCATAATTAACAGATCAGTGTATTTTATTATGTAAAGTCTATTTTGCCCTTGTTATTCTATTTAGTTCACAATCTTACTTTCTAACTTAAGTACTTATGAAAACAAAGAAAAAAAAAAGTAATTTATTATCTCCTTATTAATTAAATTATTCTTTATAAATAAATAAATAAAATAATGATTATTTGATTGATCTCTCCACTTTATCAATACTAAAACTTATAAAACCAGTTACTATATCTTTCCTCAAATCATCACCACCGCTCACCATATTGGATAATAATACTTTTCAGAATGAAGCCCACGTACAGCTGGACATCACCATTACTTCACCTAAGGGCTCTCGGCATTTTACTAATGAAAACGGGTAGTGTTGATCTGCTGTGTATTCTTTTTAGTTAGTTATTTTTTGTTGCTGAGTTGTACAAATATTAGTGATAGAGTTTGTTATTCTTTTTCTTCGAGAATCCTCTGTACAGAAGGCATATATACATGCTATTTGTGCCCATTTCAAAATCAATGAGAATGAATCAATTCAGTTGACACTGGTGTTCCTTTCCCTGCTTTTCTCGTGCTCTGTTTTTCAACTTTAATATGGTATCAGAGCAGTGAATCCATCCATGGCTTCTGACGATTCCTCCGTTCAAACACCTCCTACTCCTCCTCCTCCTCCACCCAATCAATATCTTAATTTCAATGACGCAACCAATCCGTATCGACTTGACCATGGGGATAACCCCTCCCTTTCTCTCGTCCCTGAACGTCTCACTATTGACAACTACACCACTTGGTCCCGTGCCATTCACCATGCTCTTCGAGCCAAAAACAAATTAGGGTTCATTAATGGTGAACTCACCAGACCCATCAACCCATCTGACCCTTTACTTCAACCATGGGAACGTTGTAATGACATGGTTACATCTTGGCTTCAAAACTCGATCTCTTCCTCCATCAAATCCAGTATTGCGCTCGTTGATGATGCTGCTACTGTCTGCTTCGAGCTACGGGAGCGTTTTACTCAACAAAATGGCTCTCGAATCTTTCATCTCAAGAAAACACTTGCTGGACTTCATCAAGATCAAGATCCGATAAGCATCTATTATGGAAAGTTGAAAGCTATTTGGGATGAACTCAACATATTTGACCCTTTGCCTAACTGTACTTGCGGTCAATTAAAAACCCTTTCGGATTGATACCATAGAGATTGCGTTATTCAATTTCTAATGGGCCTAAATGACTCCTACAACAATTCTCGTGACCAGATTATGCTTCTTGATCCTTTACCCTCTGTTGGCAGAGTTTTTTCTCTCATCCAGCAACAAGAGCATCGACATCTCATGCTCCAAACCAACCCCTCCCCTGACTCCATGGTTCTTGCCATGAAGAAATACTATCCCAACTCCGAACCCCCCAACAAATCCAGCCAACCTCGGAAACCTTGCCCATATTGTACTCACTGCCATTTATCTGGTCATCTCCTTGAGAATTGCTTTAAAGCAGGCAATGCTGCACCCCCTACCTGTACTCATTGTCACATGAGTGGACATGTTGCTAACAAGTGCTATAAACTTCACGATTACCCACCTGGGCACAAATTTTTCAAAGCAAAACCATCACCAGTGTTTGCCAATTCCGCTTCTGCTGAATCTGATGAAGACCCCTCTGCCACGGTTGCCCTTACAAAGCACTAGTATCATCAACTCCTTAGTTTGTTGTAGCATAAAGAGCATCTGATGACGCCTACTTGCTCCACCAACTCATCCAAGATTGCTTTTCCTCCGCATGTTAACTCTGCTACTGCTCCCCCTATGTCTGGTATTTTGACTTCATGCCCTTTATCATTATCTGTTTCTTCTCATCACTCATATCTTCCTTGGATCATTGATACGGGTGCTACAGATCATATGGTCTGTAGCACCTCCCTTCTCACCACAATAACTCATCATGTATCATACTCTGTCAAAATGCCTAATGGAGCAGTAGCACCCGTCACTCATATTGGCACTGTTCATCTTGGACAGCACATTTTGCTTCATCATGTTCTCTATGTTCCCTCCTTTAATTTTAATTTGATTTTAGCTAAAAGACTAACCACTTCCCTTGCTTGTTGTTGTCTTGTTTTCTTCTCTGATTTTTGTTTTCTTCAGGACCTTTCATCTTGGACAACGATTAGGAAGGGTGAAGTGAGGCAAGGACTTTACCACCTGTTGCATACTACGGTGCCTCCCACAGCTCTTGTTGACCATCTGTCCACCTCTTCCAACAAACATGACTCTGTTTCAGCTTCCATACTATCTAATATTCAAATATCTGATACTTGGCACTATAGGCTAGGCCATACTTCTCATTCCAGAATTGCTTTAATCAAAGATCCTATTGTAACCTCTCAAAATTCTAATACAAATGATTTTCCTTGTTGCATATGTCCACTGGCTAAACAGCACCGATTGCCTTTTTCCATTAACACACATTCCACTTCTCGCCCTTTTGAAATTATTGCTTGCAACCTTTGGGGACCATACTCGGTTACTGCCCGTGATGGCTCCAAATATTTTTTATCTATAGTTGATCACTTCTCTCGCAACACCTGGGTTTACCTTCTCACCAATAAGTCTCAAACTCGATCATGCATTGAATCTTTTTGTAACCTTGTGGAAACACAATTCAATCTCAAAGTTCAAATACTAAGAAGTGATAATGGTGCCGAATTCAATATGACCTCATTCTTCAATCAAAAAGGCATCATTCATCAACCACTTGCATTGAGACACCCCAACAAAATGCCCTTGTAGAGCGGAAACATCAGCACTTACTTAACATGGCCTGAGCTCTACGGTTTCAAGCTGGTCTCCCCTTAACCTTTTGGACTGAATGTGTGCTAACTGCTACCTACATCATCAATCGCATTCCTTCACCTCTCCTAAACAATAAAAGTCCTTTTGAAATACTTTTCAATAAACCTCCAATCTATTCCCATATGAGAACCTTTGGTTGCCTTTGTTTTGCTTCCACCATTTCCAATGGCCGAACCAAATTTGATCCACGAGCCAGACAAGCCATTTTTCTTGGTTACCCTTTTGCTGTCAAAGGATACAAGCTCCTTGATATGCAAACTCACACTACTTTTATCTCCCGGAATGTCATCTTTCATGAAACAATTTTTCCTTTCCTTCAATCATACACACTTCCCTCACACTCCTCTCCCAATCCTACTCTTTCTCTTCAACCTTTCCACACAGCTCCCATTCATTTCCCTCCTACCTACACCTCGACCCCTCAACCTGTCCATACTTCCCCTAACATTTCTTCCCCCATTCTACCCCAAACAGACAGCATCCTAACCCACACTCCTTCACCTCCCTCTTCATCCTCTCCAACGCATAACCATTCCTCCAACCATTCATCCCCATCACCACAGCTTCACAGATCCACAAGAACTCGGAATGCACCTCAGTATCTACAGGATTACCACTACAATCAGACTCACTTCACCTCTTCACAAGCGTTGGACAAGATGTCTTCCTCAGGTACTGTTTTTTCCTTTACATCAATCACTTTCATATCATTGTTTATCACCTGTTTTTCGTGCTTTTTCCACTTCTATTTCTTCACATCTTGACCCACAAACCTATAACCAAGCTGTTAAGGACCTGAGATGGTGTGAGGCAATGCAGGCTGAACTGGATGCTCTTGAGCTAAACAGAACTTGGGTGTTGACTGATCTACCTCAAGGGATCAATCCTATTGCCTGTAAATATGTTTACAAGACAAAATACCATGCGGATGGCACCATAGAAAGATTAAAAGCTAGGCTTGTGGCCAAAGGCTATACTCAGCAGGAATGGATCGACTATCACGGGACTTTTTCTCCTGTGGCCAAGATTGTCACCGTTCGGTGCCTCTTAGCCATAGCGGCCATCAAGGGCTGGCACTTGCAGCAATTTGAGGTTAATAATGCTTTCCTCCACGAGGATTTGGATGAAGATATATATATGGTAAAACCCCCCGGCTATACAAAGGGCCAACATGGTCAGGTATGCAAACTTCTCAAGAGTCTCTATGGACTCAAGCAGGCTTCACACCAATGGCATGCCAAATTTTCCAATTCTCTCATTAACTACGGTTTTAAACAGTCCATTTCAGATTATGGTTTATTTACCATGGTGACTAAAGACTCCTTCACAGCTTTGTTAGTGTGTGTTGATGACATTGTGGTTGCTTCCGACTCTCTTATTTGCATTGAGTCTCTCAAGAACTTTCTGAACACTTGCTTCAAAGTTAAGGATTTAGGTCCTCTTCGATACTTTCTTGGACTTGAGGTAGCAAGATCCACCAAAGGCATTCACTTATGTCAGCGGAAATACACACTTGACATACTTTCAGATTCTGGCACTCTCGGCTCCAAACCTGTTAAACTACCTATGAATCAAAATCTCAAGCTAAGTCAAGATTCTGGTACTCCTCTTTCAGATCCTAGTCCTTTCAGGCGCCTCATTGGTCGGCTTATATACTTGACAATCACCAGGCCTGATATCAATTATTCAGTCTAACTTCTCAGTTAGTTCATGTCTCGACCAAGTGACCTTCACTTACACGCTGCACACAAAATCTTGAAGTATCTCAAAAGCAATCCAAGTCAGGGTCTTCTCCTCTCGGCTCACTCTCCAATTCAATTACATGGTTACTGCGATTCAGACTGGGCTTCATGCCCTGATACCCGAAAGTCCACAACTGGTTTTTGCATATTCATTGGACAGTCACTCATCTCCTTGTAATCCAAAAAGCAATCTGTGGTATCCCGTTCTTCTGCCCACTCTGAGTATCATGCTATGGCAGCCACTTGTGAGTTTACATGGATTTGCCAACTCTTTGATGACTTGCACATTCCACATCCTACCCCGACCATCCTTCATTGTGATAATCAAGCAGCCTTACACATTGCTGCGAATCCAGTTTTCCACGAGCGTACCAAACACATTGAAGTGGATTGTCACATCATTTGCAACAAAATTCAAGAGGGCAGCATTACCACTGCCCATGTTCCTAGCCACTCCCAGTTAGCTGACATTTTAACCAAAGCACTCTCCTCCAATGTGCTTAATACTCTTCTTTTCAAGATGGGAATAGTTAACCTCTATTCTCCATCTTCCGCGGGGGGGGGGGGGGGGGGGGGGGGGGGGGGGGTGGGGGGGGGGGGGGGGGGGGGGTGTGGGTGTATATTGGATAATAATACTTTTTAGAATGAAGCCCACGTACAGTTGGACATCACCACCACTTCACCTAAGGGCTCTCGGCATTTTCCTGATGAAAATGGGTAGTGTTGATCTGCTGTGTATTCTTTTTAGTTAGTTATTTTTTGTTGCTGAGTTGTACAAATATTAGTGGTAGAGTTTGTTATTCTTTTTCTTCGAGAATCCTCTGTACAGAAGGCATATACACATGCTATTTGTGCCCATTTCAAAATCAATGAGAATGAATCAATTCAGTTGACACTGATGTTCCTTTCCCTGCTTTTCTCGTGCCCTGTTTTTCAACTGTAACACACCAGTACAACCAAAGCCTTTACCCTTCTTTTATTTCTGAATTTTTTTTGGGCAAATTTCTAATCCCTTTTACAAGTTAGAAAAGCCAGATGCGTCAAACAGAATTCAATCTAAATCAACAAATTAAACTTATCTGTTATAACCCAAGCCTAATTAATCAATTCGCAACACAAACAAACACAATCAAGATTCAAGACCCAAAACACACACACACAAGGCACAAATTTACCGTGGTTCGTCTATCCAATATTGGATAGACTACATCCACATTGAGCTCTGAAATACGGATACTCACAGCACTAAAAGATTATCCAACAATTACAAGAAGAAAACCATACAAATCTGCCGAAACAGAGCAACACTCAACTTAGGCTTATTCGCTCAAGAAACTCTCTACAATCTGTAAGAAACAGAGGACTAAACCAGCCTCAAAAAGGAAACACAACCCTCTTTCTAATCTACATAGGTTATTCCTAGAAAGCCTTAGCAAGAATACCCAACCTAATTGCTCTCTAATTTCATATAAACCCTAACTGTTACAGATTAGAAGAATGCGGCTGTAACCACACTGTAGCTTCTCTTTTTATATAAGCCCATATCAGCAAATATCAGCCCTTGGATCTGTCTTGATCTGACGGCCAGGATTCCTT